ACGACTTCAGTCAAAACAGCTAGAAAGCATCACCACGACGTGCCCGTAAACTTGATTGTATCAGCCAATTCAGCCCCGATATCCGGTACACCTCCGGAGAAGAAAAAAACGTGGCTGATTCTCTCTCACGCATCGACGCCATCAAATATATCAACTTCGACAAGATGGCACTGGAACAGAAAAACGATGATGAACTACAATCGCTTCTCAATTCTGATGCAGAAAATACCATCTCATTCTTCTCAGTCTCTTTCAGGCTCAAACAAGCAATTGTAATGCCACGTCGCAATAATAAGATACGCCCGTTTGTGCCCAGATACCAAACCGTGGTTCAAGCCCTGCATTCGCTGGGCCTTTGCAGCTTGCATCGTACGCTCTTGCATCCAGTGTCAAAAAGCCAAAATTTATCGCCACACCAAATAGCCACTGGACAAAAAGTCAGATATTTGTGCATAAAGTTAAATTTGTTATATTTTTAATATACAAAATATATTGAATTTTCCAATTAAGCATACTCCGGATAAAATTAAACTGTTTCCAAAAAATTTTTAAAAGCTGCAATTTGAATTTCCCGCTCAAACAAAGTCAGCGGATTGATTGCTAGCTTGATCAAATGGAACCGTGAAAATTTATAAACATTGCATCTATGTTGTGGCTTTTTCGTGAAAGTAAAAACAATTTGTAAATATGGAAAAAAAATCGTACAGGTATGTAGATTAAACTTTGCGCGGTAGTTTATAGATGTTCTATGTATTTTGTTGTGTCTGTTCATATGTTGTTGGTGTATTTTTATAACTAAAATTTAACAATTGTAGCTGTGTTCTGTGGAGTGTAACTTTTTTACCGCGCGCTCCTGCCAGCAACTAAAACTGGTATGTTCTTCTTAAAAATATATAGATTAAGGCGTTAATAATTTCCTTTGCCCGTTTTTGCCCCTTTCCGAAAAAACAATACATGTTGCAGGTGTTTATGAGTTCTATCATGCAGCGCTCCTCGAAGTTTGGGGGGAGAGCCACTGGAAAGACGACGCTGTTAGAGGTTTAAATTAAATATTATAACTAATAGAACCATATTTAGTAAAAGTTTTAGTTCTTTTTATGAAAAACTTAAGTTTATGTAAAAATTAAGTAAAAATGCCAGTAAGGCCAACTCTTGATGTAGGCGGCGGCCATAGGCGTGGTCAAATTTCCAAAACAATAAAATTCAAAATGCGACAAAAATAGTTCAAGCATATATGCAAAATTTGAGCCCAATATATCTAAAATTGGAGATTATGCAAAAAAAACGGCATTTACGCCCAAAGTGGGCGTGGTCAAATTTAAAAAAAAAAAAATTCGAAACTCGACAAAAATAGTTTAAGCGTATGTGAAAAATTTGAGGCCAGTATCTCTAAAACTGGAGATTCTGCCAAAAAAAACGTCGTTTCTGCCCATAGTGCACTGGGATAGTATGCAGCCAGCGACGCCAGTTTTGAACGCATCAATATGGACATCGTCGGCCTCGATCGTTTGTCAAGATGAGCCGCAGCAGTTCCCTTAGTCGACATCACAGCACAATATGTAGCCAACGCAATGATTTAGGACTGGTTCGCTCAGTACAAAATCCCTCTCCACATCCCAACGGACTTAGGTCGATAATTCGAATTCATACTATTTCAAGAGCTCCAAAATTTCTATCGATCGACTAAAACCAGCATACATCTTCAAAGATGAAGCGCTTTCAACACAGGAGCAGAAGAAAGCGCCAACTGCCCAGACAACAGAGCAGGTTTCAAACTATGAGTCACATTCCCAGGAAAACATTTTTCCCAGCTGGAAATCTAGGAGGAGGGTACTGTGGCAACCCTCATCAGCTTTTGTTAACACGACCAAACTCGATAACTTACGCCAGTATCGATATTACGGGAGTCCATCTCCAGCACACACACACTCGCCTAACCACTTCGACACCTACGTATGCCGCTACTGCTACGGTTTTGATTATTCGCTACTTCATCATTTTTCTAGTTTTAAGTATATGTAACATATATAGTGGAAAATAAATAAACGAACATTAAACATATAATTGTTTGGGCTTAACGCGCGCGTTTATTTACAGAGGAAAGAAGCGAAAATTTTATGAAGAAAAGACGCAGGAATACCATAGAGTAAAGATTTATGAATTTTATCCATGAATCCTGGTTTGTAATACTGGTTTCTTCCGGGTCGATTTATTTCCCGTTATCGAAATTCGGGCTTGTTAGGATCAATTGAAAATGGACATTTTTTGCTGTTACATGGCCGAGGAATGGGAGGCAACGATTCCCAAGCCGTTTCCAGATCGATATGTACTAAAATGTAAATTAAAAATAACACAAAATTGTGCATCAGTGATTTTGAACTTTTGAAGAAGAGGTCGGCACGGCCCTATCCCGGGGGCATAGGAAATTTCTCTGCCCGAGCTCTGCCACACACACACAGCATAAATGTGTGAAACGTCATGCTCACAGCCTACTTTCTGCTATACGTTACTAACACTAATGCGGTAAAATCATATCAATGTATTGGAGTGCCGATCACTGTTTTAAAGCAGTGGAGCTTGGGCAAAGAAATTTCCTATGCCCCCGAGATAGGGTCGTTCCGACCTCTGTTTTAAAGTGACATAGTAGAAATTATTTATCGGGTCAATGATACAATTATACAAGGTAGTCTCGTCCATGATACAATTATACAGGGTAGTCTCGTCATTACAATTTTTCATCAGTACGTGTTCGTTTTTTGACGTGAAAGGTTGTCTGCGGACGAATTTTTTCTCTAATTAACCCTTGTGCAAAATGACTTTTTGTAATGTGTTCCGAAAACACGTAAATGGTGTAAAAGATTTAATTTTTACACATTTTAAATTGTAATTTTTCAGATTTTTCGTCAATTTTCCTAGGGGGTCCCCTCCAAAATTTTTAAAAGCTCTGAAAATGACATTATGTCCCACAGCGAAGGCCATATCATGGCCAATATTTATCCGGTTCTTAAGCGGAATACCTTAAGCGATTCGTGGAAATATGAAAAATTTTTCTCGGGGAAGGCTCATCAAACCATCTGTCGAATTTACTAAAAAACTAAAAGATTTTGAATATATATATGTAAGTCACATTAAGGAACTATTTACGTTATCTAAAAATGTCAAGGAGTCTTTATTATTAGCCGCAAAAAGGTTAATATTAATTTAAATATAAAAGAATTTTATTTTAAGATTATAATATACTTTAGAGTTAGGAATTTAAACAAAAGATTATATGTACAAAAACAAAAACAGCGCCTAATATGTAATTCAAGTTTATTAAAAATTAAATCATAACTCAAATCAAACTCTTTTTTTATAGCTGAAAACTTTAATCCCCTTGTATCGTGTAAGGGTTGATGCACACATTTTTAGTCATCTCGCTCACACTACTGTGATTAAAGAGGGTGATATACCCTTTCACTCGCACTCATTGTTATGATTATAGAGGGACTGATTTTGCTGACGAGACTACCTTGCATAAATGTATCACGATACGAATATAGCTCAAAACCCTCTAAATCTTGATTTATTTAGAAAAAACCGTATTTTGGGATTTTTTATATATATATATAGTAACATATCAACAAAATTTCTTTAAGTGCATATCAGTAAATTTTGTAAACCGAAGCTGAAGCCTTTTGTATTGAAATTCGTAACGCAGCTGCAAATAGCCTCATTCCAATTTTTGTAAAAACATAAATATTTAATTATTTCAATTCGGCTGAAAACATCCTCATTTCAGATTTCCAATTTCTAAGAGTCACTTCAGATTGAAAACCAAAACAATATTTGGATAAACAGAAATCCCGACTCAAATCTTTCTCACTCCTTTTAAGTGAATTAAAACTAAACAGATCAAAACATTCTTAAATGGGAACCCACTTCACATTTTCTTGTCACCTCGATTAATTGAGACCCAAAGCCTTCCATGTCAACTGACACCTCAAGTAAAAGGTTCCGACTCAATCTATTCTCTCAGAGAGCCTCTCTTTCGAGCTTTGATCTGCAAAAAGCTTCAGCAAGGGTAGCTATAAAAAGGACCTAGAGCCCTAAAGATAAGTTAGTTCTAAAAATCTAACATCCTAAGCAGTAGTTCTAAAATTCTAACATCCTAAGCAGTTGTTCTGAAATTCTAAGCAATTTGAAAGAATCACACTGTATCAAAACCTGAACTCAAAATAAAAATATATTTTTTTTAATCTAATTTTGAAAAAGATATATAATTATATATATATATATATTAAATTTTTTTTAACAATAAGGATAAAATGTTTACACAAGAAACTGACATTTTTGCATTTAAATCGTTTTTTTTATTTTGAAGCTGAACTACAGCATACAAAAGTTCTGTCATTCATGACACATATAAATATTATCTACTTAATAATGAATAAAACGAGACTAATTTCATTAAGATATGAAAATTTTTGATGTAGTGACGCTTTTCCCAAAAACAATAAATTTTAAAATCGATTTAAGATGACGCGTTTAGAAATTTTTAAGCGCAAAAAAAGTCCCGAAAAAGATTTTTTTCTAGGTAAATCAAGATTTTTAGGGTGATAAAAATGTTTCAAACATGGTTTTGTGCTATATTTGACCTGATAAACAATTCCTACTATGTCACCTTAAAAGTTAATTCACTTAATTTTTTTGCAGCACTGTGTAATCTTTTTAGAATAAAATGGTACTGGTTTTCTTTATTAAATGGTATGTGGTTATATTGAACACGGATAGCATAAAGATTTAAATTAATGTATTGAATGTGCATATTAATTCACTCAATTGTGAATGCTAAATGTGTTCAACCATATCCAGTTTGTACTGTTGTTGTTTGACACATGCGCATAACGAATTACAATTAGCTCTCATACAGCTCTCTCTAGATCTCTTGCACTCTACTCAGAGTGGGAATGTCCAATTTTAGAACGTTTCTTTCATTTAGGCCCTTGGCCTTCTATGTATTTGTTGATTACATGTACGTTTTAAAGAGATTGAGTCGTGACGAAACAAAAGTGCCAGCAGACATATGCTGAGTTGCCAATTTTATCTTTAGTCTCTGGATTCTTCTTTTAGATTATACAGCTATATTAAACTATTGTGTTAATCATTTAAAATATGTTAAAATATGTTTTGATTTTGTGTCTTAGCTGGCGTGATGTTTGATTACAGGAAAGGTATTTATATTTACTAGTGTGCCTTTATTAAATATAACTAAACTATTCTGTTTATTAATAAAAACCAATTTAAATTTAAGAAAACAACTTAGTTCTAATAATATATAAGACTTAGAAATCAAATTTTTTCATTATTTATTTAAAATTAATAAATTCATTAAAAATTTATACATTTTCATGTGCATAGATTAATATAGATATTTATGTATGACGTATAGTAAATTCAGATGAATATAATAGGAAACAGTGTAGCTAGTAGATCTGAGCTCTGCTAAAAAGTTGGATTGCAACCCATTTTAAATATTTTTTAGATGTGAGATCCCCAATGTTAATGTTATTGTTTACTTTATGTTATGTTCATACATACATGCCTGACAATTGCGGCAACGTTTGTATTTAGAAGCAATTAGAATCCTATTGTATGTATCAACGTAAAAACAAAATTAATTTTCCACGACGTTGATTTGCAACCAATGCTGTTCCGCTCCGGTAATCAGAATAGGATCTTCTGAATACAAATATGATATGCTAGATCTTTGGCACTTTTACGACGTTTGCGTATAAGCGCAACAAACAAGCTTGAAAAAAAATATGTATACAAATTTCAACCAATTTTACCACCCATAGAAGTTGTGAATTAAATATGTTAAAAAATATAATCCATCTGCTTAAATCAGATTCAAAAAAGTTGGCTTAAAAGGGTGAACAACAATTTCTGAAGTAGGGATACAGAAAGATCCCATTATTAGGGGAAGAAAGAGGTGTGGGATAAATTTTACTTTATCTTGGAATGCCGGAAAAATTATGAGCCTACAAGTGTATGCACAGTTTTGTAGCTATTTTCCCAAAAGAAATTACAAAAAACTCACTTACTTTCAATCCCTACAGTACACTATAGGAAATTTGACCACTTTTTCTGGCCAAAAACGACTTTTTGAAAGTTAAAGGATTTAAATAATTTTAGCTTCATATAATTGACTATAGATTAATTTTTGATTTTTTGAATTTTTTCATAGATGGCGCCACTGCGAAAAACCAGCTGTTAAAAAAAGCTGTTGATGTTAACTTTAACATGAGCTTAGAATTTACGATTTTTTGGTGCGATTTAAAAAACGCAGATACTGAAAGTTTTTTGGGCAAAATGAATACTTTTCAATGTTATTTTTATTATTTGTTTGTGTATGTGAAGCGTCCAAAAAACTTGTGTCGTTTTTTATACCCTACCAAACCGAGTCAAACATTGTAATTTAGTCCATGTTGTAGATTGTTAAATTATCTTCATATGATTGAAATATGAAAATGCGCTTCTATGCACTTTCGAAGAAATTCATAATTTAAGGAGGCAACCTTAAAACCTTAATGTGAATCTGTTAGCTGTGAGACTAGTGCAAAACCGATTTAATTTAAAAAAATTTCAAAGATTTTTAATTAAAAAAAAAAAAAACAACACCTACTTTTCCAAAAGAAGACTATGGCTTTATAAAACACTAAAAAAGAACCAAATTGAAATATCTTCCTTAGTTCTTTAGTTAGCATATTATTTTTAAATAGAGCGCGGTGCGCCGTAGTTTTCAGTTAGAATGTGTTTCTTAAAAAGTGGGTGGTGCCACGTCCATATATTTCTTAAATCTTAAATCCATTGACCATGTGAACTCAAATCAAAAATCAGAACTTGAATATGTTGTTTCGTTCTTGAAATATTATTTTTGGCCAGAAAAAGTGGTCAAATTTCCATGTGGTCAAGTGGTACAAAATTTGTACAGTACTACAGTAGTTACAAGGTCGGAAGTTGTTAAAGAAGCGGTTAAAAGCAGATTACCCTTATTTACCTTTGCAATGCAATTTCCGAAATGTCCGCAAATAGTAGTCAGGCTTTAGACCCTATGTAAAGGTCGCTAAAAAGGGTACTTATATACGAAAATTTACTAATAAAGGGTTATTAAATAATAACAACTACCACTAACAATAGGAAAAATTCCACCGACATCATAGCAAGGAAGATGTCCGCGCAACGTCTATCATGTAATTGGGGTCAAACTAGGTCTAAAAAAATTCCCCATATGGATTCCCCCATTTCTGATATTGGAATCCATTCCTGATATGGGAATATGGATGGGGCTTGGTATATCTATATCGGTGCTCATACGAGATGTGTTCAAAATGACTTTTCAAATTTCGTGGGCAACATATTTTCGACAATCGATTTTTTTGTTTTTCTATGTTAGTACACTCTTTCCTAACTTTTGTACCAAGTTTCAATTGAATCCCCTTTTTTTGTTTGGTTGTGAGAGGCGAAAAGGTTAACAGTTGTTTTGCGTTCTCGGCAATTTTTTGCTATCGAAAAATATGGATCAAAGGATTTGCATCATATTTGTAAAAATGTAAAAAATAATGTAAATGTGAAAATTTAAATGTAAAATGTAAAAAATAAAATCAAGTGCACCGAAACACTTAAAATGTTGACAGTGGCATACGGTGTAACTGTTCTGAGTAAAAAAAATGCTTACAATTGGTAAAAACTCTTCCAAAATGTCCGGGAAGATGCCAACCGTCGCATGAGCATCGATCAAGAGCTGTTGAATGACGTCAACGACAACGATTTACTCAAAAGGGTTATAACTGGTGACGAATCATGGAATCATACGGTTATGATATCGAAGCCAAAGCCCCATCGTCCCAATGGAGAAGCCCAGGTCAGCCAAGGCCAAAATAAGCACGACAAGTTCGATCAAATGTCAATGCTCCAAAATGAAAAGACGCCTTTTGTCTCTTCCTCTTACCCTGCAGGGTACAGGGCCCTGTAAGAAGGACGCTGGAATCCAATCGCTTCTTCTGCAGAGGTTCACAGGGAGTGAGATATTAGGATGTTTGATGATGTTTTTTTGAAGTATCGCAATCTTTTTGAAGTACTTTAACGTTCAATCTTCGCACACATAGTCGTGTCTGAATCTTAGCCGCAACAAAATAATGGTCGAAATCTATGTTTGAACCCCAACCCCATCGACCATGATGCCTTATGTGTGTCCAAATGACAGTATCCAATCTATATATATATAAAAAATGCTCTGTTCGTATCTACTTCTTTTATAGACTTGAAAAGTTCTGAACCGTTTAAGCCCAAATTTTGACACAACATGCGTTGAGGTTCCAGATTGGTTATTGTCTACTTTTGATGTTTAAAGCTTATCTGCGTTTGCGAATATATCAGTTTTTTTCGCGTTTCCACGTGCCCCTACTGCTGCGCCCTCTACAGGCAGCCATGTGAACTCAGTTTTTGTCATGTTTCCCCGTGCCCCTACTGCTGCGCCCTCTACAGGCAGCCAACTGAACTCTTGCGACAGTCACCAAGGGCAAGGGCACCGCAGACGCATGTGAACCACGTGGCACGAGCAACGTATTGAAAGAAGAAATTTTATTTTTTTGTTCAGTTTCAGTTAGAAACGGAGTCATGCCACCCAAGAAGTCGAATTTGGGTCGTCATACTCTCAATACAGAAGCAAAAAGACGTAAAATTTCGAATATGACTGACGAAGAGCGGGCCTCCATCCGAGAGAGTGAGCGGCTGAGAGCAATGCAGATGCACAACGCGGAATCTGCAGAAAGTCGAGCAGCTTGGCTTGAGCGAACACGATTGAGAGTTAGGCAGTCGCGTTCTGCAGCAATCGATTTGATTCGGTCTCGAAATAATGAACGCGACAGGGCAAGGGTAGCTTAAGCGCGTTTACAGCTTACAACAGATATAATGCAACTGTTGATTATAGCTCGAATCGCAACCACCAGAGCCTCTGCACTCTCTTTTCGCTGGATCTACTACTGAATCGAAGCATTTCCTGTCGAACATTAGGAAATACAACTCTTGCTCCCAAATGACGTCATTTGGTGCGGAAATTGTAACGGCGCAATTCATGCCAACTTTTTAAATCAAAGGACAAATCTATCACAAAGCCGGTTCCCTGCTTCCGTTCTCAGACAGCGAACACAAATTTCTTCAAATGTACTTCATTGGTGATGATGGAACTGAAGTCGATGCACGTTATGGAATCAATACCTCGATGAAGAAGCCCATTATTTCGCAGCTACAGAAGCTTTTTCACGAACAGAACCATTTGGTGCGTTTGTTCAAAACAGCAATCGGTATGATGCCTTCGGATAGCCATAAAATTGTCATTCATGCAGACAAAACGCCTGCTGGAGAACATATCAGGAGATATAATGCTCCAACTATAGACGAAGTGGCAATTGTCATAGTCGGGGATCAGTTCCAACCTCGAGATGTTGTTCTTCATCGACAAAACGATCGATTGGTAAACGTCGCAGAAACTGTTACGATGCTTTTCAGTATCCACTCATCTTCTGGGATGGTGCCGATGGATTTTGCATGCAGTTGTATTCGGATTTGCATGCAGTTGTCATTAAGAACATGATCCATGGCCCATGTGGTACCCTCAACCCAAATTCACCATGCATGGTAGACGGGAAGTTCCAAGCGATATCCTTGAGCATTTGCAGCCAACACCGTAACAGGGAACGATGGATATCTTCTGTATAGGAGACGGTCAACTGAAGATGGTGGGACTTCGGTAACTTTAAACATGAGAATTGGTGATATTGAGGTAGACAATCGTTGAGTGGTTCCATACTCACCCCTATTCTCAAAATCATACAAAGCGCACATTAACGTAGAATATTGCAATTCCGTGACATCGATTAAATATATTTGTAAGTACGTGAATAAAAGCAGCGATATGGCAGTTTTTGGTGTTCAGGCAGAAAATGGTGACAGCAACGCAATACAAGTTGTCGATGAAATCTCTCAATATAAGGCTGGAAGATACATAAGCACAACGAGGCTGCATGGCGAAGTTTTTGTTCCCCATTCATAAACGCTATCCAGCTGTAGTTCACTTGACAGTCCATTTGGAGAATGGTCAACGTGTCTATTTCACCGAACGAATTGTACAAGAAAAAGTCCTGAATCTGCCTGCGACAGCTCTGACTGC